ACTTCATGTTTATTTGCTTAATTAATGTGCAATTTGCTTAATCCTGCAAGCCATCATTGGAACTATTTTATTGCAAGCTATCATAAAATGTTTTTAAAAAAAAAAAAAAAAAAATAAGTCTGCATTCAGTTCATTTTAAATAAAAATCAGCTTGGACAAGCCCAACAAGGCAGAAACTACATGTAGTCCTTGACTTATGACCACAATTGAGAGCCAACATTTCTGTTGTTAAGTGAGATATTTGTTAAGTGAGTTTTGCCTCATTTTACGACCTTTCTTGCCCACGTTGTTAAGTGAAACACTGCTGTTGTTAAGTTACTAACCCAGTTGTTAAGTGAATCTGGCTTCCCCCTGGACTTTTCTTTTCAGAAGGTCACAAAGGGTGATCATATGACCTTGGAACACAGCAATGATCATATATATGAACCAGTTGCCATGTGTCTGAATTTTGATTATGTGATCATGGGGATGCTGCTAAGGTCATAACTGTGAAAAACGGTTGTAAGTCACTTTTTTCAGTGCTGTTGTAACTTTGAACGGTCACTAAACAAACTGTTGTAAGTTGAGGACTATCTAAACACAGATGAAGTGGATATTTCATTGATGTTTTACTTTTTTCCGTAAGAGCTCAATGCAGCACGAATTTGGAATTCCTCTATATCGGATCACAATAACTTTTTTAAATAGGTTGTATTGAGTACCACCATATTAAAAAGCAGAGACATCACCCTGCCAACAATAGTGCGTACAGTCAAGGCTACGGTTTTCCCAGTTGCAATGTACGGCTGTGAAAGTTGGACCATAAGAAAGGCTGAGCGCCAAAGAATGGAGGCCTTTGAACTCTGGTGCCGGAGAAGACTCCTGCGAGTCCCTTGGACTGCAAGGCGATCCAACCGGTCAGTCTTAGAAGAGATCAACCCTGACTGCTCTTTAGAAGGCCAGATCCTGAAGATGAAACTCAAATGCTTTGGCCACCTAATGAGAAGGAAGGACTCCCTGGAGAAGAGCCTAATGTTGGGAACGATGGAGGGCAAGAGAAGAAGGGGACGACAGAGAAGGAGGTGGCTGGATGGAGTCACTGAAGCAGTCGGCGTGAGCTTAAATGGACTCCAGAGGATGGTAGAGGACAGGAAGGCCTGGAGGAGCGTTGTCCATGGGGTCACGATGGGTCAGACATGACTTCGCAACTAACAACAACATTGAGTACCACCATCCCAAACCGATCCAGTAAGTTTTCATGTTTGAAGCAGGGGTGGGTTCTACTTACCTTTACTACTGGTTCACATCGGGAGTGCGCCTGTGTACTTCTGTTCATGCGCAGAAGATTCTGTGCATGCGCAGATCACCTATGATGACGTCCGGGTCAGTGGGCAGAGCCTCCTGCCAGTTTTACTACCAGCTCTTGAACCGGTCCGAACCGGGGGCAACCCACCACTGGGTTGAAGGTAAGCTTAAACCTTAGGTTTCAGGTTGAAAACTTTGACTAGGACAAATTTTGACTTCCAATGATTCTTATGGGTACCTTTTTCCATTCACCCTTGGTGTAGATGTGTTTTATAAGGTTAGTTTCCCCCTGGGGTGATAATCGGGTTTTTTTAATGGTATAGTATTGATTGCATTACAATCTCATTTTACAGCAACAAGTGCTTCACCAACGTAAGATAATTATATTTCCTTAGTCTTCCCTGGAGCTCCCAGTCAGCAAATTGCTTTTTATTATTATTATTATTATTTTAGCAAGGCACAGAAAAGTTGAGATAAAGTAAAGGTTCTGAAAATCTACACTAGGCCTCATTTTGCTCTCCCTGTTTAATCACATCTACCCATTTTAACACAAAGGGGAGAGAAAGAGGAGAATCCGATGTTTAGCTTCTTTCATTATTTTGCTTCAGCTGATCAAAATAGGTTGTTCTGCAGACAATGTGGGTTTTTTTTTTTGAAAGGAAGAAAGGCTGTTATTCCCATTGCAATGTAAATTCTTAGAATAGAGTAGAGTAGAGTAGAGTAGAGTAGAATAGAATAGAATAGAATAGAATAGAATAGAATAGAATAGAATAGAATAGAATAGAATAGAATAACAGAGTTGGAAGGGACCTCAGAGGTCTTCTAGTCCAACCCCCTGCTTAGGCAGAAAACCCTACACCACTTCAGACAAATGGTTATCCAACACCTTCTTAAAAGCTTCCAGTGTTGGAGCATTCACACAACTTCTGGAGGCAAGAAGTCGTTCCACTGATTAATGGTTTTAGCTATCAGGAAATTTCTCCTTAGTTCTACAGTAGGTTTCTTCTCTCCTTGATTAATTTCCACCAATTCCTGCTTGTCCTGTCCTCAAGTGCTTTGGAGAATAGGTTGACTCCCTCTTCTTTGTGGCAATCCCTGAGATATCGGAACACTAATATGACCCTCCCTAACTCTCATGAAGATAAGGAGAGAGCAGGAGGAAGCATATTTCGATTTGCAAGATTATTGTTATGGTAACCTTATAATAAAGTAGTATTTGCATTTATAATTCTGGCCTCTTAGTTTGGTCTATCTTGAAGGGCTGACATCATAAAAACTAGGGAGGGGCAGATCCGAGGCACTTAATCAAATTGCATTTTTATCCCAGGACACGGAAAGGATTGACATCACCTTTCCACAACAGATTTTGATTGCACTTTAGCACTGCCTCTTGCAGCAAGTTTGCTGTCCTTACAGATTTCATGCAAAGCAGGTTCAGGACCCCGATTCTCCTCCCTCCCTGCATCATCTTCTAGGAAGGAAAACCATTGCCCGTTGCTCTCCAAAATATGTGGTGATCCAGGCTGGAGAAGAAAAGTTTGCTTCAGGGACGTCTACTTTTTTTTTCTCCTATTCCGTTTTGTCTTAGGATTGTTGGTGTGCCCAGAGAGGGTTTAAAAGAAAAGCAAAAAGTCCAATTGGAACCCAATAAAAAGGAAGCTTTTCTTCCAATCACAACACTTACAGTAGCTCACTCCCATTTATCTCCAAAGCTCCCCACCTATGATATGCTTTCTGCAGGGAAATTAATGTAAAGTCTACCTGACCCCTTAGATCAGTGATGGCTAACCGTTTTGTCATCGCGGGCTGAGAGTGTGCATGTGGGTGTGTGACAACGCGCATCTGTGCCTGCATCCATAATGCAATGCGTGCATGACCCCCCCATGCACCCCCATGTGTGCGTGACCCACTGTGCTTCCCCACGTATGACCTCCTCGCCCCGTTTTGGGTGTAGCCGGTCTCCCTGCACCCTGCTGGGACCAAAAACAGGCCCCGGGGGGTGCCGCACCCCCCCCACACTCTCCCATACATGCGCACATTACCCTCCTCATGCATGTGTGCACAACCCTTGGGCATGCACAGTAGAGACCCGAAAATCAGCTGGCCAGTGGGAGGCGTGCGCGCATGCTGGGTGGAGTTGAGCTGGGCGATGGCTCGCGTGCCCGCAGAGAGGGCTCCGCATTCCACCTGTGGCACGTGTGCCATCGATTCACCATCACGGCCTTAGATGCTTTGCACTTTTCCGCAGATAGGGAAAGCCTTGGAGACATGGGTGAAAAGCATTGCAAGGCCTTCGATTTTCTACTTCCATCTTCCTGCAGTATTCCACAGAGGTTCTTTGCTTTTGTGTGTGTGTGTGTGTGCCCAGCATGGCTTACACCTTACAAAGTTGGAAAAACCAAGCAAGTCATAGTTCTCCATGTCGGTTTATGGGGGAAACGTTCTCCCGTTTATTAGCTGTGCTTCAAACCACATTGTACAATGTTTCGGTGTGGATATGGCTAAACGTGTCCATTTATTGGGAAAAGAACTCAAGGCAAGATACACCCTCCTTTTTTATACCAGTATTGTACCAGAATTCCCAAGGGATTGTAGGAGTTGAAATCTAAACATCTTAAAATTGCCAAGGCTGAGAAACACAGCTCTATACACTGACTAAGTAGACATAACTCTTGTTCAAATGAATTGGGAGGCCGAATATGGGCTCCTTCGAAAAGATGGGGGAAGTACAGGGGTGGGCTTCAAAAATTTTTGAAGCAAGGGGTTCTCTATCGGTTGCTGGGTGGGCATGGCCATGGTGGGTGTGGCCTAGTCAGCCTCCTGCACCACAGGGGGGGTGTTTTTCCCCTCCCTGGCCTCCAGAGGCTTTCCTCGAGTCTCCGGGAAGGCGAAAACAGCCTCCCCAGGCTCCGGAGGCCCTCTGAAGGCCAGAAACGGAGGCCTTCCTGAACTTCTGGTAGGCCCATTTTTCGACCTCCCCGAGCCTCCGTGCGTGCCCTTTACTTACCTGCATCCAAAATGGGCCACATGGGGTCTCCTGGGAGGGGCTGGCTGGGTGGGTGGGGCCAGCCAGGAATGGGATTTGTGGGTTCTCCAAACTGCACAGAATCTTAGCGAGAGGTTCTCCCGAACCCCTGCAAACCCCCACCAGCCCACCCCTGGGGAAGTATCTTCCCCCACACGATTGTGGATTAAAACTGCATTCCATATCCTTGGGAATATTCACCAAGAAAAACTTTCACTGGGGCAAACAGACTTTTTTCCCCTTTCTGATACAAAATTTGCTGTGTAGTTGTGGATCCAAATCTGGATTTGGGACAAAGCTTCAATGGCACAAATCCTGCTCTTACTGAGTGGCATGGAACTTCTGGGTAGCCTCTATTTTGGGGATTTCACAGAATATTTCCCATTTACTTCCAGTAACCCTTACATTATTAAATATATGCTCTTCCTTGTGTCTGTTCCAATGACAAACCAGGCGAGATCCTTCAAAGTGCAAAAAAAACAAAACAAAAAAAAAAACCCTTCAGAGAGTTTCTTAAATAATCATAAAAATATATTACTTATTCTAATGCAGATTTTTTACAAAAAAAGCAACTCTCTTAATATAAATGCAAATAATTCAACATCTTATTTATACATAACAGACTCGTGAGATACTGCTCATTTCAAAAATGTTCTTTTCCTCACATTCTTGTTACATATGCCCTCTTGTTTTTTTAAAAAAATATCTACCAGATATAACAATTTAGGACATCTAATATAAGGACCTGCCCTAGTTCCTAGATGATGGTATTGTCTTGTGTAGTGACATCCAGGCATCAGGTTCTACATTTCTCAGGATTCCCAATTCACTGGCTATTGCCATGAGAATCACAATAATAGCTGAAATAAAAGCTCTTTTGCAAATTATATGTATCTCCAGTTAGATGAAGATGGAAAGAAGGCAAGGAAAATCTCTTGGATGCCATTAAAACTCAAATGGAACAACTCCAAAATGCATTTCACAATTAGCCTTGGAGTACCTGAGTATGTACATTTGAAGTACTCAATATATTTCCCCCATTTTCTTTTTTGACTTTAATGAAACCCATTCTCATTCAGTCTAGGGGGGGCAGCAGTTGTGCAATACTTTGGTAAGTTTCAAGAACGAAAAGATGAGAAGGTCTGGCTAAGATTCCTCAATTCAAAGCTGCCGAAATTACAGTTAACAAACATTCACAATGTGAAAAGCTTCAAGTCTGGAGGCCTGGCTGGAAAAGTCAGTAATTCCCAGAACAATTTTTTGCCAGTTCACTTGACCTACAAAGAAAGATTTAAGAATTTTCTGAGAAACCGGAGGTCATAGACGGGAAGAGCACACCTGATCCTGAGAACCTGTTCTCTCAGTCCTTCTGTTGAAGAGTTTATGGAGCAAAGGAGGCCACATGCAAAGGTGTTTTATTCTGGTCCAGAAGCTACAGCATGAACGCTTCACGGCAGAAGAAGAAAAATAAAAGATGATGGGGTCCAAGCAGGCATTGAAGGTGCTGAGAAGCAAGACTTTGATCCGCCAGTCGGGACTTTCCCACTCAATATAACCTACCACGTGGGAGATGTTGTAGGGTGTAAAACAGATGATAAAGATTGCTAACGTGGCTGCCACCAACCCCACTGCTCGTTGCTTTTTGCTCCTGCAGATGTGTGGTGAAGAGATCACTATCCTTATAAAGCCAAAATAGCAAAAGCAGGTGATCAGGAATGGCACCAGGAAAAGTACAATGCTGAGCTCCAGGCGAACAGGGAGCAGGACCTGGAGTTGCTTGTCTGTGAAATTGTCATAGCAGACATTAAAGGAGGGCACACTTGGATGGGAATAGTTGTCCCGGTTGAACTCGGTGATATAGACAATGCTGCAGTGGCCAAAAGAGCAGATCCAAATGCTCAGGCTGGCAATTAGGGCATAGACTGAATGACGCTTCAGCTTGTAATGGATGGGATAAGCTACGCCCAGGTAGCGTTCCACGCTTACCGCCGTGAGGAAGAGCGTGCTAGTATAAATGGTGCTGAAGTAGACAAGACCACTCAGGGGGCACAGAAAATTGGGAAAGGCCCAGCGGCCAGCGATCTGCTCCGCCATCTTGAAGAGGAGGAAGACCAGGAAGCAGAGATCAGAAATGGTCAGGTTGAGGAGAAGGATGCAGTTGGGCGTGGCCTTGACTCTAATCTTCTGGATGAAAGCGTACAGGGCCAACAGATTGGTGGGAAAGCCAATTAGGACAGTGAGCATGTAAACGGTAATGTAGGTATTCCGGGTTTCAGTGTTGGAGGCCATGCTGGAAGATTTCCACCTGTGGGGAGAAGAAAGACATAAGACATAATTCTATCGATCCAGCAAGAGAGGAAGAAGGTGTGTGGGGGGGGGGGAATCTCGGCTCCCGTATATATATTCCTCACAAACTTTTTCTTTTGAAAACATGGAAAGATGTGGCATTGTCAAAAAGGTAAAATATTTAGCTATGAGGAAAAGCTTAGAACTTTGCCTGGCCGGCCTGGACTGATGGGGTTTTTTTTAATGGATTTTAATTGATTTTAGGGATTTTATGTGTAACTTTACACCGGAGTTTTTGTTTTATTTTTCTGTTTTATTATTGTGAGCCGCCCTGAGTCCTCTCGGAGAAAGGGCGGCATATAAATCTAAACAAACAAACAAACAAACAAACAAACAAACAAACAAACAAACAAACAAATAAATAAATAAATAAATAAATAAATAAATAAATAAATAAATAAATAAATAAATAAATAAATAAATAAATATAACTGTAATGGTGAACCTTTTTTTTAAAATTTGATTTATATGCCGCCCTTCTCCGGAGACTCAGGGCGGCTTACAGTGCGTTAAGCAATAGCCTTCATTCTTTTGTATATTTTATACAAAGTCAGCTTATTGCCCCCACAAACTGGGTCCTCAATTTACCTACCTTAGAAAGGATGGAAGGCTGAGTCAACCTTGAGCCTGGCGAGATTTGAACTTGCAGTAATTGCAGGCAGCTGGTGTTAAATTACAGTGCCTTGTCTGCAGAGCTATCCAGGCTCCTTTTTGGCACCAAGTGCCGAAAAGGTTGTGCGGAAACATCATGCGCGCACTCATTGGGGCTGTGCTCCGGAAAAACTGAACTTCCGGGTCCTAGCATGCATGCCCATCCGACAATCAAGTGGCTGGCATGCATGCGCAGTCTGGTTTTTGTCACTGCCGCGCACGCAAAGGTATCACACTCCGGAAAAGCCGAACTTCTGGGTTCTGGCGCGCATGTGGCCCCCAACAATCAGCATGCGCACACTGGTTTTCGGCACTGCCGTGTGTGTGAAGGACAGCTGTTCATTAAGTGCGCGCATGCACGCCAGAAACCCGGAAGACAAACAGGGAAGGCCATGCGTGCCGGGCGACATGGCTTCACATGCCACTTTGGCCATACATGCCATAGGTTTGCCATCACGGGCTTAGAAATGATTAATCTAGAGCAAATACTTTCTTCCAGGTGAGTTCTCCTTGCCAGTCAATAGTTGTTGATCAACCACTGATTCCAAGAAGGAGCTTTGGAAATAAAGATCTAGAAGCCATCCACCTGAAGAGGGTGGTACTTTTAGGAAGACACTGGACAGCCACTTGTCTGTAATGGTGTAGGGTTTCCTACTTGAGCAGGAAATCCTACACCAGTTGGACTAGAAGACCTCCAACTCGACTAGAAGACTTCCAACTACACTATTCTGTTATTATCTGTTACATTCCTATCAGATTGTACTAGTTCACAATCTTGGACCATCTGACTATACTGTTCAGCCCTCAGTCCTGTACTTCTCTCCTCTTCCTCGTGTTTCTTTGCTTACTGCCTCCAAGGACACACCAGAACAACTAGACACAAGAACAGTTTCTTCCCAAACGCCATCACTCTGCTAAACAAATAATTCCCTCAACACGGTCAAACTATTCACTAAGTCTGTATTACTATTACTATTAATCTTCTCACCGTTCCTATCACCCATCTCCTCCCACTTATGACTGCATGACTGTAACTTTGTTGCTTGTATCCTTACAATTCATACTGATATTGTTTCCTAGTATGATTTGATTGCTTATTTGTACCCTATGACTATCACTAAGTGTTGTATCTTATGATTCGTAATGAATGTATCTTGTCTTTTTATGTATACTGAGAGCATATACACCAAGACAAATTCCTTGTGTGTCCAATCACACTTGGCCAATAAAGAATTCTATTCTATTCTATTCTATTCTATTCTATTCTATTCTATTCTATTCTATTCTATTCTATTCTATTCTATTCTATTCTATTCTATTCTATTCTATTCTATTCTATTCTATTTGCTTTGAGCCTTGGTTAACCTGGGACCTCTGCTTTTTTAGACCTGCTCTTGTTATTTGTCAACTTGAGCAAACGTTTGAATTAAATGCATTGCATGGTTGTTTTCTTCCTCACGGGGGTGCAACAGCACCGGTTAAACCGAAGACTGTAGCCGATTGGTTTCTCCTTTCATCTACCAAATCTGCTACTCTCCTTCAACCTACCTTTTCTGAATGCTCCTTTGTAAGCAGGCAAGACAGACAGAGCTTTGAACATTGGCTGGGACTTGGAGAGTGTTCTGATTATATCCTCATTTTCAGCACTGTATTATCATCTTCATTACAGTCCTATTATTGCAGAACACACAAATTCTACAAAGATGTTTTGGCCTGAGCAAACATGGAGACGTTTGTCCCTTGAACAAATATCCACACCAGTTTGTTCAATTCCCAGGGTCTATTGTGGACTCATGGAAAATTGCAAAACTCGGTCTGTTTCTCTCTTCTCTGGCCTTTCCGAATACATCCTTTCTATACCTCGTCTAGCATTTTGGTTCCCTTGAATTGTTTTTCGTTATACAGTACTTCCACCTTTCTCTTTCTGCTTTTTGGAGTGAGAGCAAGGAGGCTAAAATGTTATTTATACAGCTGTTTTTTATATTTAATCTACCTCGCCGTTGTCCAGCTTTGTAGCCTATAATGGGTGACAAATATCCTTCTACCTCAATATTCATAATTTATAACAAGCAGAATTTTCCTCTGTAATTTTGGGAAAGACGGTAGAAAAACGGGGAAGCTTTCAAATGAAGAGAAAAAATATTAAATGATAAAAGGTGGAGGTATTTTTCCCTTATTTCTCCTTCCTTTTTTTTTTCTTTTCCTTTTCACTTTGTAGATTACTTTCTCCAAATAAGAGCTGGACAAAGAGAGCTGCTTCAAATTTCCCTTCCCTGTCTGAAGGCAAAGACAGGGAACGGGTTATTTGTGCACATTTCTCCCTAGGAAGGATAAATTTATAATAGCTTCTTGAGGCCTTCATGAAAAATGCTCTCTGGGACAGGAGTCTCCAACCTTGTCAACTTTAAGACTTGTGGACTTCAAGTCCCAGAATTCCTCAGCCAGCTGGCTGAGGAATTCTGGGAGTTGAAGTCCACAAGTCTTAAAGTTGACAAGGTTGGAGACCCCAGCTCTGGGAAGAGTTCGAGGATTTTAATGAAAGCAGGGAAGGGCAGGCTACAGACTTTAGAAGAAATGACACGGAACATTGGGACTTTCTCATCCGATCTTTGGCAACGTCGTCAGCAAAGAAGTCCAAGAACAAAACTTTCCACGACCCATAAAAAAAATATCGAAAATTATCTTCACTTTTGAAAGGAGAAACCTGAAAGCAACTGCTCCTTCACCAAATGGAATTAGAAGTAATAGGAGGAAAGAGTAATCAACATCATCCACACGACCACTCAAAAAACACTACACATACATTTTTGGTACAATCTCATCTCATCCAAAAGAGGTTAGGTTTTACTTCCCTTCGCTACAATACAGAAGTCACAGGGGTGACTGCATGCAAACTAATTTATGCACCATCTAATATTAGGTTTATTAATCATTATTAATGATTAATAATTAATTGGTTATATTGTAGGAAGTTAGCACCCACCCTTCTCCTAGGAAAATGAGATATTTTAGGAAATATTAAAAGGGCAAAATATTTTCCCTAAAAGGGAGGCAGAAATTTACTCCCACACCCACCTTTATCAATGGGCCATTAAGGCCTGGGCCAGTCTATTCTACATAACAAAGATCTACCTCCTTCAGGCAGAGCCACAGTAGGAATTGCCCAAAGCACCTTCATTACATCATCACCCAGCAAGGCTCAACCGAGCCTGAGACTCAGGACAGCCTACAGAGTTGCTCCCCATGGGAGTCTGACAACCAATCAGAATACAAGCTCAAATTCAAAAGCCCAACAAAGGGCATAAAATCCAGGCATCTCTGCCCTTTTCTGCCCAGGGCTTCAAGGCATATGATCCTCTTAATCAATAAATCTTCATTCCAAGCAACTTCCATGAATCCAGTGTCTTTTTCCCCACTTGGAACTGAATCCAAAAGGATGTTTCTTCCAACAATATTATTAATGTTAATGTTACCAATAATATAATATTAATATTAATTAATATAATATTAATTATAATTAATATAATAATAATAAGTTTATGCACAGGAGAAAAAAAATTGTGTGTCCAATCACACTTGGCCAGTAAATCTATTCTGTTCTGTTCTGTTCTAATTAAATAAGTAATGCTCATTTATTAAGTTTATATCCTGCTGTTATTATAGATAAATCAAGATATCATGCATAACTCCCTTCTGCTATTATGGAGACTTTGCTGATTTCCTGGCTGTGACAAATGAAGCAAAAAAAAAAGTATATCTGTAATCTCAACATATGTTTATAACGTATTAGGTTTTGTATTTTGTATTTTTAATCTCTTGTGGTTTTTATCAAAATGTGATGGGAATGTGTCATAGGATAAATAAATCCCTTTCCCTATTTTCGCAAAGGTAGAGAGAGAATGACCGGCCCAAAGTCACCCAGATTTAAAAGGGAGAAATAGGATGTCTCAGACTTGCTAAAAAATAGAAAGGATGTCTGCAAAGGGATGGTGAGAATTTATAACATTGCACCCTGTTCTTCACTGTCTGTTCTTCCTTTGCCCACAGGCATGGTAATAAGCTCCATTTAGAGGTTTTATTATCTTCATCCATCTTTTCAACTTCAGCAAAGCCTCCTGAAAAATTTGACAAGATGATTATTGTCTACAAAGCATGAGGTAAAAGAACCATGTGTTTGGACAAAGCAATTTGGCTGCTGATTCTCTTATCACCGGGTCCGCATAAACCCACCTAGCTCATTTCACCTTACGCCCTGGATGGTAATTATATTCTGCGGTGGCGCAGTGGTTAGAATGCAGTACTGCAGGC